TGGGCTTTCGAATGGTGTATGAATTATTTGTGTTGTTATTACAAGTGTTGCTGTGACCCCCTAGGAAAAGGTTATGCCCCACCCTGTACTACTCTGACATGTAAAATAAGGTCAACATTTGAGTTCTTATTAATAAATACAAGTTGATTATGGACGAAGGGGATAAGGGGAGCAAAGCATAGCATAGCTCCCCTTATCCCCTTCCTGATGCGTTCCGGATCCAGTTCCAATGGGCCTGGCGGCGTCCACATGGATGCGTGCAGCGAGTGTGCACACACGCACAGCGTACACATGCATCTTAGTGTCTCTGTGAGCTCCGCGATGCTCCAGCTGCTCAGCGGAGCTTTGCGCAGGTGCTGTACACACTGTACACATGTGCAGAAGCGCCGAAGACTTAAAAGACCAGTAAGGAGCTCGGGTGGGTGGGTGGGCCCTCCGGAGCACCGTACCGGAATGGTATCCGTGCTCCGGGCAGGCTCTGGTACACCCGTACTGGGGCGCACCGCCTGCAACCCACCACTGTCCTTCTCCCTCCGGCACAGTCAGTGTACTGTAATGAACCTGATAAGGGTTACACCTTTGCAATAGTAAGGAACTGGGTTTCAGATAATTAGCATAACTGAAAGAACAGTAGAGATGTGCTAAAACCTAGCATGGGTAAAATGACCTGGATTTCTTTTTAATAGAATCTTAAGAAGCTTATCATTCTCACACCATAGAAATATAATGAATACTAATGAAGACATCTTTAAGCATTTATTAAATTAGTTAAAGATTTGAATAAGCATTACAATAATCAAATACTTCACTGAATCATGTCACTGTGGCATTATTGGGCTAATATTAACACGACTTCACTAATCTTTGTACTCACTTAGGATTTTGATTTTATTTTATCCAGAATTTAGGATCATTGTTCTTTCCACTTTTTTTTTTTCTTAACCACATCTTATTTGAGTTTGGAAGGGAAAAAATGCTAAATTACAACAGGTCAGCACAGAAATAAAGAAAAAAGAAGATAAACAGCTTTGCTTTCTCCAATTTAAAAAGGAAATAATCTTTCGGCATTCAGGCCTGGGGCTAAAGACCCTAACCCCGCCCGAATGGTATGACTGTTGTGCTTTCTTTTAATAATGTATTGTCTTATGTCTTTAACTTGTTTGTCATCCCCTCCCCCCTGAATTGTGAGCCGCCCTGAGTCCCCT